CGCCAGGAGGGACCAAGGTCGAGCCCCGCCACAACAAAGGGGCCAGCCAGCCGGCCCAGCACAGCCCGCCACCGCCACCATGACCATCGGAAATATCTTCAAACTAACGAAATATAAAGTTATTAGGGAGGAAAACCCATCTGGATAACAGCAGACTGACTGCTCGTAAAATATACGACAGGTCTGGACCACTCGTAAATTTTGTTCATATCTGAAAAAAATCTTAGAATACGAAAACATTGGTGAATGCCACAAATTCTCCTAAATCACTCGTACGAACAACTTAAGAACAAATCTGTGCGTACGAACGGTTTTTGCATGAGGCCCAATATTTTCTCCCAGTAGATGTTCATTGGAGAGAACTGCTTTAATTAATGATTCAATTTCTTTAAAACATTTGATATTTTTGTGGAAACAAATTTTTCAAATAATGTTTAGTAGATTACATGAGAAAAGGGAGTATTGAATGTTCCTATCTGTCCCGTCTTTATTTTGTAGAAAAATGATGGTCAGTTCACAGTAATCCAGCTGGTTGGTATGCTGCGGGGCATTGCATCTGGCATGAGGTAAACCTGGACCCAATTACTGGATCGTTAGTATTTATCATGCACAACCCTTCTGTTTATTCTTCAACTTTGTGTTCATATCTGCAGATATCTGTCAGACATGGGCTACGTCCACCGTGATCTAGCAGCTCGTAACATCCTTGTCAACAGTAACCTCGTGTGCAAAGTGTCTGATTTTGGACTGTCCAGAGTATTGGAAGATGACCCAGAGGCTGCATATACCACAAGGGTAAAGATTTTTTTRCTATGTGTGTGTAGATGTATTACATTAACACAAGTTTATTATTTCAGTTAGTGGGGTAGAAAAATGTCTAGCAAACTAAAATTTATTGATAAATGRCATTTTTTAGATTCCAAAAGTATTCATATTCAAACATGTAAAACTGCACAAAATAAGAATTTTAAAATCAGCACACCCTTGAAGCAGTTGAAGTTTGTGTTTGTATTTATTGGATCATTGGATAATCTTGGTTTAAAACTTTGGTGCTAAAAAGCAGAGGTTTGTAGTAACTAAGTACATTTATAAATTTGTTACAGTACTATAGTTGTTTTGAGGATTTGTAATTTTGCCAAGTATTCTTTAAAATCGTTACTTTTACTTTTTATTTTGTTGCATTTAAAACCTAAAAAATGTACTTTTGCTGTTTCATTTTTAAAATGTGACACCTAGTTACRCGTTACAAAATTAAATATGACCAAACTCCTCATGAAAGGAGTTGCTCATGCACTCTGAATTTATTCAACCAAGTCTTGTTAACTAGTTCCACTAAACCTAGTAGAATAAAAAGGGGGCAATATACATATTTTCTTAACTTGGTTTAGGGGAACCAGTCTGGTTAACCCCTCAACAGTCACCCTTGAAATTCCTTAAACTTTTGACGTTTATTTTATTTTATTTTATTTTATTTTATTTTATTTTAAGGGTGCCAATAAAAGTAAGAACCGGAGGAACTTGTCTGACACTCTAGTTTTCAAAATAAAAACTCTGGTAGTGACTGGAAATGTTTACCCACGATTTTTACCCACTAGTGACAAAGACCATTGGGGGTTAAGCAAATTCAACAGTTTACTTTGCGGAGAGTGTGTAAAAGTTTCTTTGCCGACAGTTTTGTGACTTTTACGTTAGTACTTCAGTACTTTGATCATCAGTGAAATTTATATTTATCAAAGTGGTTTTCGGTTAAGATATTTTTACTTTTACTTAGTTTTTTTTCAAGTGCTTAATAGACCTCTGCTAAAAAGGCAGCAGTTGATATGAATTCATTTTATTAATCATAGGTGTTTATGTGTGTGAACACTGACACAACATTGCCCAAACACACTAGTGTGTATTCATACGTGCACACACACACACACACACACCACTGACAGCAGCAGGCTTTAAATTGAGCTGTGTATCTTTGGCTGAGTGTCGTCCTGTCAGCCAGAGACGAGCTGCTTCCTGCTGGATGAGGACCAATTAGTACTTGACTCAGTCTCCACAACACTCAATTAGCACCAAGTCTTTCTGCCTTAGCGCCAAATATCCTATCACTCACCTCTCGCTGCCAGACTGCATCCCTCCGTACTCTCGTTGCCTCCCTATCGTTATCAGGCTCTCTTCCCCCCGACAAGTGAGAATAACACAATTCACATCCTGGAAATAATCAGATCTAAAGATATCCTGCTGCTGTATTCATCAATACTGCATCAAGTTAATTTCACTACTCATCAACTGAAAGCACATTTTCCTGTGGAACTCAGCAGTCTTCCTGTGAACATTTTCTTTCCCTTTTTTGCAAGGAAAGCAGTATAATGAATACGGAGAAAATGAGCAGAGCAATCTCAGGCCCCCAACAGTTTGGATCATGAATTTATACAAGAAAGTGAAACTTGTCACTTCAACTGTGCTGTTAAATTAGCATGTATTAGCATAAGAAGTGTCCTGATTAAGGTTTGTTCTAGGGTTTCATCTTTATGTGATAAAATATTGATATATATTTATTTAACCTGCAGCTGTATTTTTAAAACGATTATTTGTAAGCAGTGTTCTCCCCAACTTCATTTAAAGAATAATGCTGGAATTATTATAAGAAATCTCCAGCAAAAGTTGAATGCTTAGATTAAATTTCTGTATTATATATTGTATATTGCTGCGGTGACACCATCTCCTATGACTGTTTAAGCAGTGATCAGGCAACCTCCTGAATACCGAACAGGAGTTTTTCATTATGCGGTGTAATAAATGATCATATTGTAGCAATCAAGGACAAATTGTCAAGGTAATGTTTTAGTTGTTTGCATCTAATTTACTGAGTTTAGTTTCTCACACCATCCCTCAAAGCTCCACTTACAGCAGACAACACACTCCCCCAACTAATTCCAAAATCTACAGTGAGCAGATTGTTTTGGTACCAGGAGAGAGGGGAGGAGAGAATAATGAAAGCAAAAGAAATTTATTAAACCAAGCAACAACTAATGAGACATGGTAATTTATGAAACGACAACTTGGTTTTGAAAAAATAAAAAAAGTATCGGACTGGATTTAACATCTCAGTTATTTCAAATTATAAAAATGTTGACTAAAATTCAGCTCATTTCAAAGCACCGTACAAAAATGAATTTGTTATTCCATTTATAGCTTCATCAAAACCATTTTTCAACTCCACATATCCACAGTAATGAAAACATCAATATGACAATAAGCTGTGATTTTCAAAAGTTTGAAACACGACTACATGGCTCACTGGTCGCTTGTTTGCAAACAGCCTGATTTCAGTGACAATTCAATGGAAAAAACTATTTATTTTACAAATCTGAGTCACCAACTAGGCTAAAGGTCGCAGCCCAGTAAGATGCCACCTTTCGAAGTCAGCATAACATTAATATATGATGGCTTCGAGGTTGAAGTACCGTATTTACTCAAGTATAATAAGTAAAATTAAATCCATAAAATCATCCATAAAGTTGGGGGGTAGTACTATACTCGGATAAATATTTTTACTTATGTATTTTAACTGAAATATCAGCTTCATTCACAAAATGCCTGAGTCTGGAAATGAGACCTCATCGTAAAAAAGCAGTTGAGACCAGCTTACCTCTGACACTCCTCCGTGCTTCAGAGCGAGATAATAACAGATCCAGGCAGGTGACATGATGTGAAAAAAGGTGGGGAAAGTACTCCCGCACCTTATTAATGATAGCGAACTAATGACATTAGCGTGTGACCGGGCCGCTCTTGGAACAACAACAAACACATGTTCGTCTGTAATGGCTGCCGTCTACCGGTGTTCTGAAAAAGTTCGTATCCCTGAAAAAATGTTTCCCCACCAGATGGGGCGCTCGCGAGTAGGAAGTAATCTGCTTTTCCCCCCCAAGATGGTCCAAATCTCATTGTGTTGGCGCCTCCTGGTGGACTATGTGTAAAATGCCAGAATTCATATGATGCTGCCACGCTACAGCTGATATATATTTGTTGTCAAAATACCTTTTAGTACATATGTTGTTAAAATAAAATGAACAGTCCAATGATCATTTTACTGATATGTATAAAGACTGCAAAGGCTGAAAAATCTTGAAGTCTGTATGAAATTGGAGGAACTGTAGTTTGAGGATTAAATTTTTTTGTGCTTTTAAGCTCAAAAAAGGGGGGTCGTATTATACATGAGATCATATTATACATGAATAAATATGGTACTTCCGTTCTAATTGCTTCAATTTTTGAAAAGGTGTTTGTATCATCACGTAAAAGCCAATGCATTTTATTACAGGGTGGGAAGATTCCCATTCGCTGGACAGCTCCTGAGGCAATCGCTTACAGGAAGTTCACCTCAGCGAGCGATGTGTGGAGCTATGGGATCGTCATGTGGGAGGTGATGTCATACGGAGAGAGACCCTACTGGGAGATGTCTAATCAAGATGTGAGTAAAGAACAAAAAGCAAACAAAAAAATTACAAATACATACCTTGCTAGTTTTTTTATTTGCTTTGACAAGAAAACATTTTTCACCCTTCATGCTTGCAGTAAAAAAAACAAAACTGTGTAACCATGGACACGTTTGATTTAGACAACAAGTGTACTCACTTCCCCACCGCCCACATTACTCGCAACATATGTGCACACAGCCCCTATGTGACCTCTCCATCCCCTGCTTCAGACTCCTCCCTTCTTTTGCTTATTAGCAGAATGTCTCAAAGACTAGAGAAGGAGAGGAGAGGGGGAAAACACCGAGGATGAGTGGGAAGGAGAGGAGAAGACGTTTGATGTTTAATTGAAAGCGTTATGCAGGATTTTCTCTGATCTGCACAAGAAAGTGTAGGCTCTAACGTTCCTTCTCTAAGCTGTCTCCTTCTGTTTCTGTTTCTCTCCCGCTCGCTTTTTACTTGTGTTCTCTCTTGTCTCTAAAATGTGATCTTTGTCTCTTTTCGTTCTTATTTCTCATTCACCCTCTCTCTCTTTCTCCCTCCTTGGTTTGTGATCTTTCCTTCGCCACCAGTATTTCTTCTCCCCCTCTCACTCAGATGGTTTGATGCTACTTTTTTTTTTTGCTCTTAAGCTTCTGTTAGAGTGCATGCATGCACTTATAAACTCGTCTGTTTTGGAGCGCTATCACATTGGTCTTTTGTGTGAATTTAGCCAAAGTAAAGGGGGTTGTGAACTCAACAAATCAATTCCCTGCTGTGCGTTGCACTGGCAAAGCAAGGCTGAAAACTCCAGCCTGCTTTCCACTGCAGGGTTTATTTATTATTCATTCAACTGTTTCCTTCCAAAATAAATAAAAAATAATAATAAAAAATAGAATAAATAAATGAAGCAATCCAGTAATTCAGTGCTCCATCTTAGTACTAAAGAACAATTAATTTGGACGATGCAACCTTTGGGGAAAAAACAAACATACTGAAATACATTTTATGTGTGTATAAATGTGAATAATATGCTCACAGGGGTCGCTTCATTAAATTTAAAGCGTAAGGTCAGATGGYGAGTAGGAACATCCCTTCAGCAAATATCAAGATCCAGGATCTTACTCAGAAATTGTCAGCTTCAGAGTAAAAATGCCTTCTTACCTTGATGTGTACATGTTCAGTGTTACATTGGGTCCTTTCTGTTTCTCCTGTATGTGCAGAACGTTTTCATGCTATTTTCTCTGCAGATCAGATGGTCACTTTGGGGAAAATTCTTAGGTTTAATTTTTTGTTTTTGTATCAAGATGCAGCGCTGCTTGGTCTGAGGGGTAAACTTGCCAATATAAAGTGTTTCTTACATATTTACTATATCCAAATACGTTTAAAACTTGTGAAGTTCAGTCTAGCATTGGCTAGACCTTTATATTCTAGCTGTCTATACAGAAATGTGTTTTATTAGAAAAATCAATAAACTTGATTTGGTCCTCTGGACAGGTTCTTTTTTTTCAATGAAACGTTTCAACTCTCTAAGAGACTTCTTCAATCTGAGGAGTTTCAGGTAAACTCAGCTTTATAAGCTGTGCCTTCATATGGTGGACAAACAGGTTTAACGATGACAATCGAAACCGTTGTTCACATGCAAAAGGGGACCATCAGCCTAACAATAGATTGTTAGTGCCCTGGTCATCACCTATTATTCATAGAGGATCATATGCATCATCACCAGACTATCGTTCATGCGCTGATTATTACTTATTGTTTACAGGGGCTGAGTCATACTCACAATAACAGCATTGTAAGAGGGGGACAACTGGACACAGAGGCCTCCATCTTTGTTTAATGACTGACGTTTTCTTCACAAAAATTGATTCCTTTAATCCTCTATCAAACCAATGTTCCTCTTTATCAAGGATGAGAACATCATCCCTGAAAGAGTGACCGCTGGCCTGTAGATGAGTGTAAACTGCAAAGTCCTGGCCTGATGATGTACTTCTTCTGTGTTGGACCATTTTTTTAAAAAGTGTTTTTACTATGATTTTTTTTCTCTTTTCTTTTTTTTTCTTAGTCGTCTTCAGGTTTATACTGTTCTTTTGGTGGAAAAAGAAAAACAAAATTTCTGCATGTTTTTTGTTGTTATTATTATTATTTGTCATAACTCTTTCTGTCTGCAGGTAATAAAAGCAGTGGAAGAGAACTACAGGTTGCCCGGTCCCATGGACTGCCCGGAGGCCCTGTACCACCTAATGATGGACTGCTGGCAGCGGGAACGCACCAACCGCCCAAAGTTTGATGAGATCGTTTGTCTACTTGACAAACTTATTCGCAACCCCAGCTCTTTAAAAAAGTTGGTCAACTCCTCACACAGGTAAATCAAGAGGTCAAATTGTGCTTTTWAGCTTTTAAGACAAAACTGATTTTAAGATAAATTGATTACATCTAGGTCTAATAATTATTCTGATTTTAGTTCATATTTTAATTGATAAAAATCTATTTGACTACTGTATGTCAGCAACACATCACATACAGTAATTTTTGGTTTTTATTGGACGTAGATTTGCAGCTTACACCCAAAAGAGGAAGCACATTTAAACAATGAGTGGCACAGCTAATAGGCCTGCAGTGACAGCTGTCAAGAATAAAAGGACACCAAACGACAAGCTCAGACCTTTTTTCACGCTACTCTTTTGTTCCTCTTGRACCATAGAAAATGGTGTTACCTACTGTGAATATTTCATTTGATAGCATGGGGAGTCCAATTTGTCAGCATGAAGAGTGAGCTGAATGACAAAGAGTTTTTGGGTGGAAAGCAGGGGCTTCTTTGCGGCTTTGTGTAATGGTGCATATTACTAGCATTACCAGTGAAGCCTCACAGGTAAGTGTCAGGACAGGGGGTGCTATAGCATCTGTGATGAATGTGTTTTTTATGATTTTCAGAAGTTTTGTTTTTTGTTTTGGTTTGGAATACTCCTATGGATTTGTGACATTTTATGTTGTTTTGCTTGGTTTGTTCACTGTGCGTGCGTGATTTCTCTGATCAAATAAAATTCCTAATAGATGAATAAATAATTTGAAGGAAAGTAAAAGAAAGGTAAATTAACTATCATTTCTATTGGTGTGCTAGGGTTTCCAACTTGTTAGTGGAGCATGCAAGTGCAGATGGGGACTGCAGCGCTCGAACCAAGACAGTTGGAGAGTGGCTTGACTCGATAAAGATGGGCCGCTACACGGAACTCTTCCTGGAGGGAGGCTACTCCTCTCTGGAAACAGTGACTCAGATGACATCAGAGTAAGGATGTTTGCATGGCCATGAATTTAAAGCTTTACAGAAAACACTTGTGTTTTTAATTCTGCATATGTTTCTCTGCTGTTCTTTTTTCAGAGATCTGAGAAGAGTAGGAGTGAACTTGGCTGGACACCAGAAAAAAATTATCACAAGTATTCAGGAGATGAGAGTCCATATGAACAACACCAACTCTACTGTAAACATCTGACGCGTTTGTACAGGCATGCACTTCTATACATCCATATGCACTCTTACCTAAAAAAAAATAATAAAAATTAAAAAAATAAGTGGACCTAGCATGTAATCAAAGAACTGTTGGACCTAAAACGGCATAGCACTTTTTGCAGACAAGGAAACCTAGTGTTCTAAGGATCTACACGTGATGATCTGCTTCTTGGTGGGTTTTGTGTGTGGAGATCGCTCGTGGTGTCTCTGGAGGTTTATCACATTGCAGCTAAATGAACCCAAATGGAACTGAACTAAGTGGTGCCACATGGAAGACCGAGGACGGCGAACTAAACTTGACTTCAAGGGATGCTTTTCGGACAAAATGATCCCAATTTTGTGAATTTTAGGAATTCTTACATCGTTTGCACTCTTTGGATTCTCTCTGATCAAACGTGAAACTGAAGACCGGGCCTTTTTGTTGGCTGTATCGTAACAGGAATTTCTTACAGTTGGCTCAGACTGAAATTTTTTTAAACCTGTCTCAGGTCAGCTGAGCCTAGCTGGTGTGATCAGAACTGGCTTATTTGCTATCAAGTACTTAAGGTTTTAGGAGTCACTGAACTGAATACTGACCATTTACAGGCAGGGTAAACAAAATCATATGTCTCATTCCTTTGTTGCTGTGTTGAAGTGTTTTGGGCTTTTTATTATTTAAATGTCTTTGGTAAATTTTTAATGCTACACAAGCTTCAGTTCTTCAGTAGAACTAATTTTACTGCTTGAACTTCAGTAGTAAAATTAGACAGCAGTTGTCATATACTTTATTATCCTTCAAAGTAATGCAATATAGTAAAGAATTAAATATTTGTCAATTAAAGATTAAAAATCTCACAGCTGGGTCTTATTAAGGCAGTTAGTGAGGTTACAAATGGCCGGTTATTTAGGCATTAGAATTATCTGTGGAAATAGTCCTTCCTTCCTGGCTGAATGTATAACTTTAGTAGAATGTGGCAATAATTATTCTGGTCCTTAAAACCAGCTTCTGAATGAAGCCATAGATTGTAAATCTTAAAGGATCTTCACTAAGACCTAGAAGGTTTTTGTCTGAACATCGTCCTGCTGTTATCTCTAACCCACAGCTGATTTATTAACCTGGTGTTTTATGTYTACATTTGAGGGGAAACATTCACTCGGTTCACATTTTGTTGAAGAAAATTCACTGAAATGTCTGTCAGTCTTGACGGCATGCCATTGTTCATCTATTAATAGAACTGCCTCTCAGAATCCGGATGATCTTTTTTTATTTTTTATTTTTTTGTCATGAAAATCTAATCAGATCATTTACATGTATTTCTATAGAACCTCTGCATGGATTCCGAAGCAGCCTTCATCAGCCAGGTCAAGAGTGCGCTCAGATCTCTGTTGAGCCTTCTTTTAGAACTAACAACCTTCAGGTATCACGACAAACCATCAGCGACCCGTTCAGTTCATTGTGCCACAACGTATCTTTTGTACAGACGTGAGCCGCACCACAACAAACCTCACTCTGACAGGACTTCTTAGAGAAACAAAGAAGGCAATATTTAAGAACTTGATAATCAGCCGTTTATTTTTACCTGTTTTAAAAAGAAAAAAAATCCAAAAGTTATGTGGACATTTTATGTTTTCTTATAGTAATTTCTATTGGACTACTGAGCATCTCTGCCTATATGTTGTTTATGTATATAATGTATTATATATTTAAAGCAGGGAGCATTGATCTTCTGTCTAGCATCAAACAAGTATAGTATTGATATTGATCATTCACCTCAGAGTAGTACACATAAGTAAATTGTGACAAATATTTTAAATCTGCATTTCTACAACTCCTGGACTTCTAAGTGAGGGCAACAAGCACATTTGTCCCCAGATAAGGGTCCCCAAAAYGATATGGATAAAAAGGCAGATATTCCTGTTTATGTTGTAGGTGATTGTGTTTAAAGTGGAATATTTTCACTGACCCCCTAATGAGACGACTAGCTTTGCTACAAGTACTGTATGTAATTAAGGATGCACAAGGACTCATTAGTTTCTCTTTTGTTGTGTGGTTTCAAAGCAAACAATGATGTCAGTAATCAAGCTTGTTAGTTTTTATTTATTTTTCTTTATTTTTTTAGAAGGGCATGGAATGATTTCTGTTCTGTGATTTTGTTAAAATTTGGCCATTTAGACAGCCACCTAAGCAGTAAGGTCTTGCATTATGTCATTCTTTGCAGATGACTTGCTCGTGTTTGGTGAGGGAGGCTATGTACATAAATGTAGAAACTTGGGACATTAACATAGAAATAATAACAGATTGTAAAGATTTCCTTTAAAAGTGGCAGCACTTGATCTTATGAAAAGCACACAAGAAGAATGTAAGGTTTGAAAGGAGTTTTCCACTTTGTCCAAGAGCATGTTCCGATTTTAAGCACTCATGCTTGCAGGTCAAGATTTAGTCATAACTTGCTGTACTTGTTCTTTTTGTTTTGTTTTTGTTTGGCTCTAAATACCATACTCAATTGAATGTAAGAGGCATTTATCACATTTAAATTCTGCAAGGGTTCATTTTAGGCGTAGAAATATTCTGAGTAAATGTTTTAAGATATTCTTCAACTTGTAAATTAATAAAGCTTACGTTTTACTTTTAACTGTCACAGAATAGAAGGCATTTAAAAACAGATTTTTTTTCCATTTCATTTAAACATCTTTTTTATTGAAGCAGCTGTCATTTCAATTAATAGGAATATAACAAATGCAGTAAAGCTACCCATGTAGACTATTGTGGCTATGCAGAAGTATTTAATGTGGCAGGGGAATGCATCAGAAAACAGGTATGTACAGGAAAGCAAAATTACTGTCGGGTGCCTAAATTAACAACCAGCATAATCTCAGTAAAATATATCCAGTCAAAACAAATACATTAAGGTATGTCAGTTCCACAATGTTTTGATTGTTACCAAATTCTATGTTATTAGCTGTTTGACAACCACTCTTCCCAGTTTAACTTTCTACTTCAAATCAGTGTGAGGCATGGACAATTGGTGAATAATACACCATTACAAGTGCCTCGCATCTTCTAAGCACCGTTGTTTCTTCCCCTGTCAAACGCCCTAATCGTGCTCCAACTTTATATAAACTCTGCCAACAATGTCTTCAGGCAATAAGAAGAATGTCAGACAATGTGTATGTTGGAACTAATTTAATTTGCACTTTATTAGGAATTTATGGCTCTTTTGTTTGACTAGCATGTGACTTTTTTTAATTTTAATTATTATTTGCTATGTAATTATTGTGTTTATTTATGATGATTATATCACTTCAAACTGTTAGTGCTTCCCATGCCATAAAATTATGTGGCTAAGCACAAAGAGGAGGTAATATTTTTTTCTTGAGGTAATTAATAAACATTGATGCAAAAGCACTGTTTTTTCTTGGCACACCTTCAGGATGTAAGCACATGGTTTACCCATTGACATGCAAGGGAATGATGGGTCTATTACTGGAACCTGGAAATTTGGATTCCACATCTCTGGTGTGCAGAATCTGGTTACAAAAATAAAAATAAACATTAAAAAAATGGCAGATTCCATAAACAGGGTTCTGCTGGCTACACTTCCAAAAAACAAGAGAAGGCCGAGACAGTTGATCTAATATTTCCTCACATGTCCATGGGTTTAACAGACATCTGTAGAGTAAGGTGGGGTTTTTTTTGTTGTTTTTTGTTTGTTTGTTTCTTTATTTTTATTTCATCATAGCTGATTGAAAGCACTAGCCTTGATGTCAACAAACATCCACCAAGCATGTTATCTTAGTATCCATGGCATTTTTGACTTCTTTATTTTTTCCATCAAAATGTAAGTAAGTGTAAGAGCAGGTTTTGATTTGCAGGCGATGATAAGGGTTGTTGTGCAAAATAAGTATTCATAGTAATTCATGTTAATACTTGTAAATCCAAAAACTAGAAAAGTTGCACATACTTTTCTGTATTTAAGTCCAATTTGCAGTTTTGTTTTGTGACGCATTCCAAATTTAACTCAACATTTTTTTATGTTTGAAACAGAGTTCGAGAAGGGAAACAAAATATTTTTATACCACAGTACTTCCTCGTTTTTACTATACTTTTTGTATTTTATTTTATTTTTTGTTTGTTTTTGTTTTCTGTGAATAAATTACTGAATATAATAAAAATAAAAGTCTGGAATTTGCAAAAGCAATAACTGACAGACATTAGCAAAAATCTTGTTTGCATACACAAATACTTTGGAGTTTACCACCAACAAAAGGTTGCACTAACATCTTAATCATTTTAACATACTTGCATACATACGCCCTGAAAAAAAAAGGGATGTTTTCTAAAAACCTCGAACAAAAAAGTATGTGGGGTTTGCATCAGGGGACAGGGTTACACTAGTACCAGTACTAACATCCTATTTTTTTTTTTTTTTGATTGCCGTGCTTCACTGGCTACAGTAATAGAGCATTCCCAATGCTAGAAGAACTGTTCTTCCAGGTGACTCTTTTGATCAAACAAGAGTTAAAGTCAAAGTTTGTATAGAAGTTTTATGTAAGAAAATATGTTTGAGTATGCTTTAACGGGTTTTACTTTAGCAGGCATTTTTATTATAGAAACTGTTGATGAGGTGTGACTATTGTGGTGTTTTGTGCCATATGACAAACCATGAAAGGGGGAACATGATGAGGGGCAGAAAACCAACAAAGGTTAAGACATACTTGTTGAGTGAAATAAAACATTGACTTCTTGTGTTAAGATGGCACACKCACTTCACAGGTATGAGTCTCAGAAGGTGGAAAACAGGAACATTTTTTCGTGGAGTTATACATCCGGTTAAAAAGTCGGGGAAACATGCAGTTTTCTCTGAAAAGTGTTTAAAAACAAGTAATTTATTGGTGAAGTTATCCCAGATTATTAATTATGTTATCAGTAACTCACTCATGCAGGTTTTAAATGATGAAATGAAACTGTTGTGATTCATTTAAAGCTCAGTGAAAAATGCTTAGCTATTGATGTGCTATTGCTTTGTCTTTGAGATTGTGTATTATGTTTGTGTTGATGTTTTTGTAGTGTCTTTTCAAATTCTATATTTTTACAATAAAACTGAAACAAAAATCAACCCTCGCTGTTGGCCGTGTCTCAGAAGTTCCATCGCTTACTTAACCGCTGATTTATGATTGGTCYCTTTTATAGTATTTTGTTGTCAATACACACGACATCACCATGAATGAGACTTTGTAATAAAGTTTCATTTTATCATTATTTTTAAATTTAAGTCATTTTGTTGTGCTTCTAATTTTTATGGTCATCTTTTTGCTTTCTCCTTTTGCCAGTGGACAATAATGACATCTATTAAAAGTCACATTTAGGATAAATCTAAAGCRAATTTTTGAGAGCAGGTATGTAGTTTTACATGTTTGCATATTCACTAGATCACTTCAGAATATGAGAGTATCCTTGTTGAGTTCACATCTCAAACAAGTGCAACTGACGACAGATGCTAGAGGATGTGAAAGTGTTCCTTGTAGCCAAATTCTCTCAATGTAGAAAAAGTGATGTTAAATATGCTAAGCTCACTGAAGCCTAATTGGTGAAAAAGAAATGTATCTGAAGAAAAAAAAACAATTCTTGCAATACAATTAGATATGGTTGATTGGTTCTGATACCATCTGTCAGTGTAACGAGAGCTGCTTAACATCCCCCCCTTCTCTTTCTGTGATGAGACTATGTGAAGGGATAGAAAAAATAAGACAAATTCAAAGACATGTTTGAATTTAGGGGAAAAATGTACAAGGCAGTCATAAGTAATATAATTCTTTCTTCGGTTCTCCAGCCTGTTGTCTGTTTTGCATTGTTCTGAATCCAGGGAAAGACAGTTCATTGCAGGGTCAGAGCTAATGAGCTCAGAAGTTCTGTAAAATGCACAATGTTTTAAAATCTGATGATGCAAGTCCTGGTAATAATGTGAAATTGTACCGGCAGTGTCAGCAGATAATTTGGTGATGTAATTTATTTCAGTCTAAACAGCCAATGACGTGAAAGCTCTGCTAAACAATGAAAAACACTAACGAATTTGGTGCAAAAATAAGCAGGATTGTTTCATTTTTACAACTCTGTTAGGGAGAGCTTTCTTGGAATTGGTCAATACTAAGATGTTTGTTTAGAAGTAATAAAAAAATACAGTTTATGTTTACTGATGTATTTTTTTCTCATTTTCTTTCTATGATAACCTTAAATCCTGGATTATATTGGTGCTATAACAGTTTATATGTAGATATCGGCACCAAATTGTTGTTTTATATTTGTGTGTGTGAGATATATCAAATGGAACCTAGCTGATCTCTAGGGGAATCCACTGCCTGCGTGGCTTAAGGTTATTATTAAGCTCAGATGCAGAAAGTGTCAGAAAGTGTGAAATTAGCCCCAGCACAATCAGCATGGCTATAACCAAAACCTCTGTCGCAGCGGCTCGGGAGAAATACCTGCAGTGTGTGTGTTGCAATGGGGCCCAACTCCCAGTGGTGCTGACTGAGTTTGTTCCAGGATGGAGGGGCAGGTTTCTTGCTCTGGGGCTGCCCCACGTCCTCCATGTCTTTGTCTGCTCCTGATCTCTGTTTCAACCATCTCTAGACTGCCTTTTTTTTTACTACATTCATGCATGTCCCCGAGTCTGCATGACATTTAGTTTGCGACTCTCTCAGGTCGTCCCGGCTGTCTTTCTGTTTTCTGTACATTTTGCTGGAGGCTGTCATTGTGCCAGGCTTAAGTCAGGTATCCCGGCGTACGATAAAGTAATTTTCTCCTGAAGAGATGTCAGTGGTCGAAACGTCCCCAGGGTCATTTGAAAATCATTGCAGAGTTGCCTCTTTAATCATTATGAATGACCTTCAGCAGAACCTTAGTTGACAGTTTTAGGTGCAATTGTTTCAGCGTCTGTGGCAAAAAAAATCTAATAAAAATGAGTCTGAAACTGTAGCCAACCTGTTATTTTTAAGTCTTTGATTATTAAATTTTGTCTTTTCTAGTATGTTTCAACATTTAAATGTAAAAACTAAAAGGACAAAGGAATGTAGAAAGTTGTTCTAAAAAGAAAATGTCTTCTGTAAAACCCTAGTCCATGATGTTATTTATTTATTATGACCCCCACGAAAAGCGGAGGCCATATTGTTTTTGTATTGTTTGTGTATGTTCTGTATGTACGTTCGTTCATTCTGTTTTATTTTTATTTTTATTTTTATTTTTTGGTTGGCTGTATCATGGAAACGGCTGCATTGATCAACATGAAATTTAGCAGGAATGTACAGTAGATGTGTCCGACCTACTCTGCGCCAGCCAACAGTTTTACGATAGACCCCAAATTTGAGGAGGGGGCTCCATCTAAAAAGGGGGTGTCTGGACACACAAATAAACTCATAACTCAAAAAACTTTTCAACACAGGAGCTTCTGTTTTTTTTTTTTCATTTATTTAGCTCTGATGAAGGGATAACCATCTGGCCCACCAATAAACCCCCCACCCCCAGATCCCCACTCAAAACAATAAATCTGTTCTGGTGAGTTCTGGTGCATTGGTGTGTAAGAAAATTTAGTGTTCGTTAGCTGAAATGTTGAATCTGATTAAAACTGTGAAGAGAATGGACCATACAATCCCAGATCTGGTTCTGAGCGAGCTTTGTTGCTRACGSCTGAAGCAAGCAGAGCAGCGCTGTCRGAAACCGGAAGTTCCGGTKTATATATCCCGGGGTCTTCAGTGCCTGGTACGCCCGCTACAGGCCTACGGCTGAATCGTGTCAGCCGTAGTGTCAAGGGAGGGATTGAAGAACTTTGCGTGTGGGGGGTCATARATGCTACCCCTATGCGGTATCTAGTTTATTTATTTAAATGTTTGCATATTTTGCTCGAGTTTTTTTAAGTGACTTTTGTTTGCTTCATTCACTGGCTTTCCAGCAGCCATAGTGTGATTTTTTTTCCACACAATTTCCCATGCAGATGCGAGCCCAAGGTGCATATGAATAGATAAAGCTCCACTCCTCGGCTCCACTACCACTTTTAACACCTATTAAGCTGTTACTGGAGGTCTGACCTGGACTAAATAAGCTGCTGGTAAATAGCCTTATCCGTTCTGCTGCTGATCCGAGAGGCCTGCCATGAGAGGGTTGTGTGATTGATCCGAGAGGCCTGCCATGAGAGGGTTGTGTGATGTCAAGTGGCTGGCAAGGACTCACATTTTAGACACTCACAGATACACACTAAAATCTCGTCGGTGGTAGCCGTCTYGCAGGTCTTTGTGCAGCTCCAGCAGTAATCCCGCAACATGCACTCGCACACCTTCTTTCTTTTTTTTTTGCCCTAGGTATCTGTCTCCTTCCTACAAAGGCAGCCAAGGAGGAATATTTGTCACCTGRCCAGATGTTTTTCCAAGGTCCTTTGTTCACGGCAGTCAATCATATGAGCAGGAATGATCCTAATGGGAAATCCCTTTGGTGTAATGTCTGCATGTGCGTTCCATCATGCGTATGTGCAGTCATGCGTGTGTATGTGCGCACGCGTCTGGAAGGT